AGGATCACAAGTTTGAGATAATTTGTGAGACTTTACAAAGAAATCAGTAAGGATATACTGTTCCTACTTGGGTACATGAGAGGTTAGCCCTCACCTGATAAAAACCACTCAAAATAGCTTCACTTATGACAGAGAAATATAAACCAAGTCATTACTCAGTTACGCAGTTTACATGAATGCACTGCTTGAACAACTGTAGCCAAACCCCACTGGCAATGGAAGCGTGTTTAACCTAGAGGAAGAGGCATCTAATTCTTGGACCCTTTCAAAGCTCTAGTTGTGAACCTCTTATTTCTAGAAGTGCATTTTAATGTGAAGGATCTTATCCCCAATGATGTGCCCCAGCCTAGGGATCAGTGTATGGAGAGCCTGCGACTGGCCCAACACAGCTGCTTCCCCATGCTTTCCCAAGCCTCACCCTCTGCAGAAGGGGAAAGAATATCATGCAGACCTGGCCCTGGCGTCTGATGTCTCGTCCACCTTCAGCTGTTTTCTGGCTTTAGCTTTGGTGACTCACTCACAGCTCTGATCCAGACATTTTAGCAAGAACGCTGACCTGATTTTTCATTCCCCGTAGATGTCCAGAGCCCCAGCCAGCACACTGCAGTGACATCCCATTCTGCCCTCCGTAGGCTTTGCTAGCCAAGTTCACAACCTTAGAGGTGACCAGTCACACACTAAGTGCATTCTGCAGACACCATTAATGATGTAATCTTGGAGATGTCTTCCCAAAGAATTCCCTATGAAAATCCCATTTTTCTCCCTGGTAACCCAGTTTTCCAGTCACATGAATTTTCTGAAATATTTCTGAAGAGAACCAGTTTTATTCAAGAGCTGCTGGGTCTTTGAAACTGTCTTTACTACAGATATAGACAAAGTTAAATTTATTCTCTGAATGTAAATCATCAAAGTTAGGAGGTAAACTTTAGTGGAAAAGGGTCAGGGAACAGCAACCTGAAGTATCAGAGTTTGTCTTGGACAAACTTTGGCTGTGGACATCGCAAGGTCCACAGCCCAGCCCGGAAGGGCAGCCCATGGCCTAGGGGCCAGACCTGTCTCCCTGCCTTGCTGTCCCTTCTTTGTCTGCAGACAGCAGCCATGTGGCAGGCCAGGCTGGTGAGCAGAAGGGGTGTCCCCTCCCAGAGGCTGCACCCGGTATTCCTACACACAACATGCACACATGCGCGCGCGTGCGCACGCACGCACACACACACACACACACACACGCATGCTATGAGTAAGTCTGGGAAATATGGATTTGGGGGCAACCAGTAAAAACAGGTTCTCATAAGAATGAAGGGGGAAATGGATATTAACAATGAATTGTCTTTCCAGCAAGTTTCAGAAAATATAAAACTTCAGAAGAAGCAGCAAGTTGTCCAGGAAGGGACATCATTATCCCATCCAAAGAATGACACCAAGCTTCGAGCAGCAGAGCCACCTCAGCAAGGCTGGCACTCTGGCTGGATTTCCTGTAGTTTAGGGGCAGTGATGGAGCTGCAGGGAACCTCCTTTCAGTGGCCTGGAGCAGGCCCCTGACCCGCCTTCTCCAGGGCCCCTGGGCTTCCTCCAGAGTCACAGGTCTACAGAGCTGCTGAAGAGCGGGCGGGGGTGCAGGGCTGATTGAAAGGAGGAGCCTGTTTTCACATGGGCCTCTCAGTAAGCTCCGTGCCGCTTTCTTGTCATTGCACGCCTCGCTTGTCACCAAGGCGATTCCAATCCCTGGGCATTTTTCATGTCACTAGATTTAGCACATTCTGTCTGTTGAGCTCCACCCTTTTATTCCTCCTGCTGCTTAAAACAATTTTCTGGAGCATTCGAACAAACGCACATACATTCTCCTTCCTTCAGTTCTTTTTTTTAAAAAATGCTGCTTTCTGTTACAAAAAAAAAAAAAAGCAGAGAGAATTCCATCCTCAGGGCCACATGGTGGATCTCTAGTCAAGCATTGTCTTTCCACCTGTGTGGAACTTTAATTAGTTCAAGTGGGAGGTCAGTGTCAAGAAATGGGGCGCCACATCACAGTCTCGATCTGCAGAACAGATTTCTTCCCTTAATAACGCGATTTCCAACTGAGTCCTGCCTGCCGCGTGGCTGCGGAAAGCATGTGCTCCTGACCCCAGCCACCAGCCCTCGCCAGCTCGGGAGCTGTGGCTGTGCATTTCCTGAGAAAAGAACAGAACCCCAGGGTCCATTTGCAGTGTGTGACAAAGGATTTCACAAGTAGTCCCAAGTCAGCCACACACTCGCCCTGCCCGAAAGTAAATAATGTCCCCCTCATTTTGGCGATGAAAAATTGAGGCTCATATCTTAAGTGACAGAGAATGAACTAAAACAGGACCCAATCTGTCTCTGCATAGCTAATATAAGATGTCCAAGACTGCCTATGGTTAGGAGAGAATGAACGTCTATTTTTAACAGTGTGCTACATGTTCTGTTCTTCTTTCCAGAGTCCAAGATTGTCTTAAACTTTGGTTTGATAGAATCACTTCCCGTGATTCTCCGAGTCGGGCTCTTGGGTCTTGCTTTGCTGCGTGGTCGTGGATGTTCCTTTTTTCCCACCTCTGACATGGTAGTTCTCTACCTGAAGACTGTGCCACTGGGAGCTGCTGCAGGGAGGGAAGCAATGCCCGTATACACTATTTAAGAGCTAGAGTTAAAGGAACTATCCGTAAATGTTGCCTGACAGAAGCCTTCTGAATATTTCATTTCTACCGGAAATACTGGTTGTTTTAAGCAACACTGTGCGTTATAGAATATCCTGTAAAGGGAAAAAAGTATCCCATATGGTAACAAGAATAATTTTTTAATAACTAGCCCATTTTCACAACAAGTGCTATAACCAGCTTATAAGGCTGAAAGGAAATGTATTTTATATTAAAAATAGCTAAGAGCACAGTCATTGTGATGGTTTGGAACAAGAGTCAGTGTTAAGTGTTTTAACGTGAACTGGCGTGTGTCTACATGAGCTTTTTAAGAGAAAAATTACAAGTTTTATAAAACCTAAGAAACTTTAAAAGTATGTCATTTACGATGTAAAATTAACGCTTTTGAAAAGCAGCAGTTGACTCAGAGCTCCCACATTTGGCTTCAGCTCTCCTCAGCTCAGATGGTTTTCTTTAAAAATTAGTGCTATCAGCTCCGTGGGACTGGTTCCTACTGCTGCCCACGGAGTGGGGCACTTGTGTGCGCACGGCAGCTGGGTCCCTGGTCCACGCCCCTGGGAAGTGGGGCAGAGGCAAGCCAGCTCTCCACACCCGATGGCCAGTCAGGGCAGGAGCAAAACCCCAAACAAGGCTCCTAGAATTCCTCTCTATTTTATGCACATGAGCTACATTTTCTGAGTCAGTCAATTTTAAACGTAGGTGGACCCTCCAAGGTCTTCCCATTTGGCCTCTTTTGTACAGTAGCAGAGGCACAGAGAGGGTCAGCAGCTCATGCAAGGTCACACAGCTGATAATGGAACACTGAGGGTCAAACGCCAGACCTGTGTGATTGCAAGTTCCTAGTTCCCTCCACTACCTTGCTTCCCAGGGAGAAGGTGATCCGCCCAGAGCACCAGTGTGGCGCTCTGTACGATCAATTTTGGCTTCTCTGGACACTCATTTTCGGTGTTATTAAAATGAGACCTAGATGGCTGTCTTCCAGCCTGATCCTTGTTCCTGGGTTCCCAATGCCCTGCACCCCCTGCCTGCCTTCCTGTGCCCAACCCTACAGCACAGCAATCTCTGCCTCTCTGTCCCTCCACCAAGAGAATCCTCACAGGCCCTGTGCCCCGCAGATCAATGGAGGAAGTGGCCTCATTGCTGGTTTCTCTCATCTGAGTCCCTCCAGAGGCTCTTACCTGAGCTCCGACAGTCTCAGAAAGCCTAACTCTTTGTCAGTTTGCCACCCTCGGGCCAAGATGCACTACCCACTTGTGACATGACCATGGCAAACGACAGCATCAGTGCCCAGAACGGTGCCATCTCCTGGGCCTGTTGAGGACTTTCTCCAACTGGCACCAAACTTTCTCCTGACTCCTCATCACACCTGGCCTGTCCTGACGAGCCACGCCCCACCTTTTGGTCACACTCTGCCACACTTCCCTGTCTGTTTCCTCGTGCAGCATCAGCATGGTGTACATAGGAGGAGCACTTGCCCTGTCTTTGTAAACTGTGGCCACCTCTTCTTCATCCGCACATAGCGCCCCGCACACAGTGGGCTCCAACAGTTGATGTGGATAAATGTATTCAACCTAGAATCCCACTAGGAGTTTCTAGTTTATTCTTGATGCACACTAGGATTCCTGTCAAGGAAAATCTTTAAGCCAGTTTTCTCCCAGCCTTGATTCCTGAGTCTCTTATCGAGTTTATTAGCTTCAAATCATAGGATCCACAAGTGAGATATGTGTATGGTGATCATTCTTCATTGAAGCTGTTGATGCAAATATTGTATCAGGTGGAAAACCAGTAGCTTGCTACCTTGGCACCTCATACTGTAACTTGATAATGATCCCTTAGCTAGCAGTCTTTGGATCAAGTTCTTTAACAATCCATGGTGCTTAAGCTTACCTGTTTCAACTTGATTGCCTTAGAAGCCACTTAGGTCAATGGTGGGGAACCTGCATGCATGCCGAGTGGGCTGTTTGTATCAATGAAAATTCTTGAAAGTTCACCATCACTGATCTAGGGGGTTAGTGCAGCACGCTTCAGGGCCTGTGTGGTGGGTCTTGAAGACATGACATGGGTACCATATCTGGTCCCTGGCCCTTCCTAGGTAGTGCTGTCCCCTGCTTCACTCACCCACCACCATGAACTGAGCAGCTTTGGTCCACTGGCCTCTTCCACCATGATTTTCCACGTGGAGCCAGTTCACCATAGACTGAACCCCCAAAACTGTGACCCAGATTAGAATTTTTTTTTAATTCTCTAAACTGTGGTTGTTGGCCAAGCTACAAGAAACCTGACTAATTCACTATCCATGATTGGCCCCTCATCATGTATACAGGCAACAAAGAATTACCTATTCTCGGCTCATTTATTGAGACCAACCACAAACAGGACAGTTAGTAGGCATTGTATAATGTCAAGTAGCAATCAAGATTTGGCTCTTCTCCTTCTTTGAGCTGCAAAAAGCCAACAATATAGGCACAGCCAAGTGCAGCAGCACAGAATATGAGGCAGATCATGAGTTAGATCAGTGCTTTGAGGACTCCTTGGGTGAACCTGTGCAGAATGATGAGGGTTTTCACAGATGGAGATGAGATACAGGCCGCTCTGTTAAGGCAAAGACGGCCGGGAACACAGAGCTGTCCTACAGCAGTTTTTTTTATCTCCACAGTCAAGATCCAAGTTTGGTAGCTCTGACACTGTAAAATGAAGTCATTTTAAGGACATAACCAGGAAGCTGTCATGGCTTCTGTCCTTGTCACTCTGGCCTGACCTGAGTCACATGCCCCGCCCAGCAGAGAGGGTGTGTAGTTCTTACCTGGATAGCTGCACACCCAGCTGAAACTATTGCATTCAAGGAGAAACAAGACAACTGGAAGTCAGCCAGCCACAAGGAAAGAGAGGAGTTCCACGGGAGGAGAGCACTGCAGGAGAAAGATCTGATCGGTAATCTCTCAGCAAGTGGATGTTACCAGGAACAGAGGTTTGGATCCAGTAGGAAAAATTAGAACACTTTAAAGAAGGACTGGGCTGTCTGGGGTCAGGCTTCTCTGCTTCTGAAAATGAACAGGAGAAACGGTCAGAAGGATTTGCTCTTGAGGAGGATGGAGAAGGGTCAGGGTCAGTCTTGGTGAGAAAGCAGCTCTGAGAGGAAGGAGCCTGAGACTGAGCTACACCCCCCTAGGAAGGTGGGGGGCAGGTGTGGGGGGCGCTTGCCTTGGGCAGTCGTGACCCTGCAGGGAGCCACTCCTCGAGGAGTGAGCGCTGGGCACAGTTGCATCTTCTGGAGCCTGGAAAGTTGAGCCTGGTGCTTCTCCCCTGGAACCTCTGGCATCTTCAGGTCAGGCTTGGGAGAAGGCATTTTGCTCACCACAGAAGTGTTTATCCTCCCTCTGCCCTAATTTTCATTTCTGTTCAAATTCAGTAAAAGGATGAAAGAACTTGAAAGTCGTGAGACACCTTTGCCCCCACTCCTGGTTCACCAAAGGGATTTAGTCTGTTTTTAAAATGCCATGTTCCCTGGATTTATGTGCTCTGATGGGAAGTGCTTTGTGTAACAATAAAAACTCCTGTCCTTTGGGGGATGCTATGGTTGTTTTGTGTTTAGTCCAAGACTGAGATCTCACATGTGTTAAATAGCAGCGTTTCCCCCACTAAGCAAATTCCAAACCAAGATGGTCAAAGCCTGCTGCTTCCAGCAGCCACCGAGGGCCATGTTTGCAGAACACGCCATGCATAGGCAAGCAGTCTTGTCCAGTAACACTGTGGAGACTGAGGCTGAGCATAGGAGCCCAGCGATGACCCTCTCACCCAAATGCTTGGGAGACAGGAGCGCCTGAGTGTTAGCAGAGCCGTAGGCACCTCTAGGAGCCAGGACTGCCAGCGTGTGCAGGGCCCTGTGCCTGGACAGGGCAAGTTCCCTCAAACCTCCCAATCTTACAGTAAGAAATCATTAGTTAAAAAAAAAAACAACCCTCCCAATCTGCAAGTGAGGAGCTGAGCTCAGCAAGGCTCAGTGGCTCGTGAATACTGGCCCGGGCTTTGAACCTGGGCCTCCAGAGCCCAGCTCTTAGGGCACTGTACCCCTCAGCCGGCGTCATGCTGCACTAAAACCTGGTCACTGCCTCTCAGGGAGAACTCTGAGACCAGCAGCAGACATGAGCCAGCAGACAGGCAGGGGACACTGCAGAGCTCTGGGGTGGGGGGAAGACAAGGGCCATTCTAGACCTTGATGGCTGTCCCATGGCGTGAGGTCCGGAACACAGACTGGAGCCAGCTAGTTAGCCTTCCCGACCCTCAACTGCCCAAATGCACAGGAACGTAATAGCCTCTTTCTCCAGGGACTGTGCCGTTAGTTCTCCTAGCTACTCTCTGGCTTCTTTTTCTACTGTAGTGCACTCTTGCTTTCCACCTGTGCACCTCACCTCCCAGAACGAACACTGTGCTTCCTGGGCTCCCTTGCAGCTATCTGCAGCCATATAAGAAATGTGAGCAGATACTGTATGGCACCTGCTGGGGAAGGGCAGCTGTTTCTTCTTTTTCCTTCTTTGTCCATTCTTCTGAGCTACTGTTTGGAATGTGGATGTGACATCAGGCATTCAGCTGCTCTTTTGGACCATGAGGATAAGAAAAGTGGGCAAACACCATAAAGATGGCAGACCTGTGAGCTGGAAGGAGCTTCATGACCAAAGTCACCACACAGCCCCCAGCCACCTACTCCTATCCTTTACTTGAAGTATCTTTTTTAATCACTGTTATTTGGGGTATTTGTTACTTGTGGTTGGAACTAATTTCAGCTGTACAATCCAGATGCTTAAAGCACCATCTAGTGCAGAGTGGGCAATTCCCTAAGTATCAGTGTGTGTTATTACTTTGTGTCAATTAATGAATAAATTGAAGTTAAATTATAAACAAGCTCAAAAGTCAAGGAGAGAGGTCTGAACTTGCTGTGAGGCACCATTACAATCTGATTCCAGAACAGCTCAACCAAAAGGACCCAAAGTCACAGGACTGACCCATAAGGACCCGCGGCAGCAAGTCCGAACGCAGGGGGAGAATTCGGCAGGCGCCCAGTGCTCAGGGCCTTTGCTGAACTGTGCTTGTGAGTTGGCCTGGCCCTGCCTGCTACTCAGGCTATGGAAGTGCACAGCAGAGGCTTCCACTGCACCAGGACCTGGTATGGCAGTCGAGGCTGGAAGGACTGGCGGGTAGGAGCGGAGAGTGCATGGGCTGGGAGCCAGGCAGAGCCCAACTGTGCAGGGTGCAAAGCCATCCGGGAGCCTCGGGGGAAGAGACCCAGGCCTGCCGAGCGCGCAGAGGAGATGCAGCAGGAGGGTGACTGCAGCTTCATGCCTGAGTCGTGGCGGCAGTCAGGTGTCTGCCCCCAGCATGCCAGATGACAAGCAGCCCCTCAGGCCCACTGGGACAGCGCATGCCCACCCATGGCTATAGCCGAGGCTCTGTCAGGGGCTGGGCCCGGACAGGCTCCACTCCGGGCTTGTCTCAGCCAGCACATGGTTTGATTTGTGGCAGAAGTACAAGAGCTGGCCCATGCCTTGGAAAACGCCAAAAGCTCCACTCACCTCACTTCCACTGAGACGCCTGTTAGCCATGGCAGAAGAGCAAAAAGTATTTGCCAACTCTACCAGGAGGCCTGGCAAGGCTAGGCCATGGGAGATGAGGGCAGAGCTGGCCCAGGCTGTGGAGGCTTGGCACATGAAGTCTTCAGGGGCACATCACCCCTCCAGCTCACAGCTCCACTGTCCTCAGGGACTGAAATGACAGCAGAGTGCCAGATATCACATGCACATTCCAGGAGGAATGAGACACAATAATCCAATGAGCACAGCAACTAAAATAAGAGTGATAGCTAAACCTGGAAATGTGGAGTGGTTCCTCAAACACCTGTGCCTATGATATGAGGGACATCTGGGAGACTGCAGTGTGAGCCTAGGGGAGTACGGGAGTGTTTCTCTTTTCCTTCGCTTGGCTGGTGATGCTTTGGGAGGCTCCGCCAGGAGCACCTGCCCAGCTCCTCTGCACCTGGCCCTTAGTCCCAGCCGCAGCATGGCGAAGGGACTCTGTGCTCGGGATATGGTTCCATCCCCCTCCCAATCCTGGGGCCCAGCTTTGGAGTCAGCCTAATCCTGGCCTGGGAGAAGCCCCGGCTGCCCTTCTGCATGCTGGGCTGTTGCTTTCTGCCCTCTTCATGCCCTCCGGTGCCCGAGGTCAGCTGGACCCCTCAGCCGCGCCGCAGGCCTCCCCTGTCCCCTTTCTTGCTTGCCCTGGCCATGCTCTGACCATCCCTTCTTCCCATTGCAAGTCTTTCTTCCCTTCAGCTGTGACTTGCATGTGGCAGCTCCAGCCCAGGCTTTACTTGGTTTCCCCTCTGACTCATCTGCAGCTGCTGGTGCAGTCCCCCTGGGCCGGGCGGAGCTCACTGGGTTGGAGCCGAGCCCTCCTCCATGAGAACTGGGAGTCTGCACTGCAGCAAGGTGTCTGGAACCAAGGGGATCCTCCTGCAGGGGAGAACTGGCTGGTTACTGGGGAGATGGGGGTTCCCAGGAGAGATGGGTGTTCCCAGGAGCAACTCTAAGTGCTTCCCCTGTCTGTTAGCAGAAGAGCCTGAGGGCCCAGGCGAGGGCCACTGCTCGACCAAGCTGAAACCCACTTTTGCTTCCGCAGTGCTGGTGACCCCTCTGTCCATCCCTCTGCCCTCACCTGTCTGTCTGTGTCTTTCTCTCCAAAGACAATCAGTGGAGGTTTTCTTTATCATTCCAGGTAGTTCTCCAAGCAATCCTCTCCTTTTGTTTCTGGGACCTTTGACCCCATTCTGGGGCAGCATTATCTCCCTTAAACGTTTATTGTCTCCTCTGTCTCCCATGCATCCCTACCTGATCACCAGGATGACAGATCTAACCCTGGCCAACCTCTGTGCTGCAGGGTGAGCCTGGGACCTGCAGTCCAGGTTCCTTGATAGAAAAGCTGAGTTTGGAGCAGGCTCCCCACCTTGTTCTTTGCTAGGAGTCCCCCTTCCTAAGAGGCCCCTTCTGTCCCCACACCTGCTCCCACCTCCACTGAGACCTCACATCCGCAGGCCGCCTCCCCTTCCCTCAAGACCTTCCTGACTGATTGGGCTGCAGATGCCTCCACAGCATCCATAATGCCTGAACACTGCCCTAACCCGCCTTTGTTAAGTATCTGTTTCTATGCCCACAATCTCTATGAATTCTTTAAAAACAGGGACAGGACATGGTTTATAGTAAGAGCTCATAAATACTCTCCAGGGGATAAATTTAGGTTTCAGCCCCTTTGTTGTAAAAGGGGATAATCACTTCCCCATATAGCAAGTTGAAATGAGAGACAAATAAAATGCTTGCTTGTGGCTGGCACATGGGCAGGACCCGAGTAGAAGTCACCTCCCTCTCCAGCATTCATCCTCTTGGGCCGATTTCACTTAAAAGGAAAACACTTTTGGGGCTGGGGACTTAGCTCAATGGCACAAGTGCCTGCCTAGTAAGTATGAGGTCAAGAGTTCGATCCCGGTACCAAAGGAAAACACTTTCTCAGTACCGTTTGTTTAACTGTGCATCCCTCCTACTGCAGCGTAGATTCTGAGAGAACAGGGCCAGGGCCACATGAAGCTCATCTTTTGAACATGGTTCAGTACAGTTTGATATAAATGGATTTGATCGTTAACCTGCAGCTTCCATGAACCTTTTTCTTTTACCTAACATATACCTCTATGCATAGATGGATGTAGCTAAGTAGATATACAGATGCATAAATGTGTGTTTATTTAACCTGCATTGCTTCCCGCAGCAGACCAGCCAAAGCTGACAAAGAATGGACTTGGGGTCCAACTATCACCCTGCCGCAACATTCGCTGCTGCCTGTGCAGGGTGCGGAGCACTGCTGTGTGCACACTGGCTCTTGGGGTTCTCAGAACAGTGCTGTGAGGCAGGTCTCGGATCGGGCTCAAGCTGGGGAACTGCAGAACAGGGAAAGGGCCGCCTTGAGGAAGAGCGTGATGCCCCAGGGCTGGCAGGGACAGATGATTTCTGCCACCCAGGAAGGAACCAGGACAACGGCCCCTAGCCTCCCTGTCGGGCCTCCCCACTGGGCGGATGGCCCAGAGACGAGGCACAGGGCCTTCTGGCCCTGGGGTGCAGACAGGTGAGGCTCCAGGCTGCTAGAAGAGTAGGAGGGCAGGGCAGTCCTGGACAGTGATGCTCCACCGCGGTCACATCACTGTCCCCAGCTTCACCAGCTCACTAGCTGCGCGTCTGTGCTCACCCTGAAACCAGGCCAGACTGCAGCACCCAGGGGTGCATTGGAAACACCTGCACAGCCTCACACACCATCTTTCATATCTACTCTGCCAGCTTGCAGAATCTTTTAAGGACAGACACTTCTACTACTAAGTACAAAGAAGTCCAATGATACCTTGGAGTGATTTATGATTTTGAAGTACTTTCTGTTTTGATTTATATTTTAAAGTACTTTTTCCTATTGTCAAATAAGACACCCTAGGAAAGCCCACAAAAGTCCAGTGAAAACTACTACATAAATATTACTCTGCTTTTTCTTTTTTATGAGACAGTCTTGCCGTATGTTCAGGTTGGCCTTGAACTCGCTTTGTAGTCCAGGCAGGCCTTGAACTCATGAGGGTCCTTCTGGGTACTGAGATTACAAGCCTGAGCCATCATACCCAGGCCACCGCCTGTTTTAAAGATGAAGATGACAGAGTCATGGCGTCTCACCAGAAGGCCACACCTGAAGGCAGGCACTGCTCGGAGGTGACCACTGGGAGTGCACAGACATCCTCTGTCACAGCTGCAGGGCTGCTGTGTGCTGGGTCACTTAATAGTGTGTGTTTTGCTGGATTATAATCACGCCCCTCGTTTGCTGCCACAAATATCTGAGCTGCATCCTCCAGCTGGATCTGCCTCCACCCCTCCCAGCTCCTGCTTTTCCGGCCCTGCCAGGTGGGAAGCGGCGGAGTGAACCCCTGGCTTTGGGCAGCGTTTTACCCACAGTCAGGGAGGCCAACCTAACGCTGAGTGGCTGGAGGTGGGTGTCTCACCAAGAGGAGCCCATCTCCTGAGCCAGCACAGAATGTGCCTTAGCGTCTCTCCTTTGGAGAGAGCTATTTTTGTCTTTCATCTTGAGGGACGCTGTTCCAAAATAGGGGAAAGAAGTATCCGGAACAGAGCTGAAAAACAGCCAATTCTCCATTTGCAGAGAGCAAGTCACTGCGCTGCTTCACCACTGCCACCGCCACCCATGCCCCGGGGCCCTGGGGGACAGGCCGGGGCCAGCAGGCTCTGGCAGAGCACTGTGTCCAGCGCTGTGATCCTTCCGTGGGATTTCTCACCACACTTAGCCAAGCTGAGCTCGTTGTCTTGGTTACCAACAAATCACATGACAGCCGAGCTCCTTGGAAGTGCAGACCAGACTGCCAGGGAGGTAGAAGATGCCCCCTTGGCTCCCTCCCCCTCACCGAGTCCTCCCCGTTATCCTTGCCCAGGGTTAAGAGCAGCGTGGCCCTTTCCCAGTGGGATCCTCACCGGCCGCTCCAAGCTGTTTCCTGACTTTGGAACCCAGTCCCCAGCGCTGCCCTGCCGGCCTCTGCGCCAAACGCAGATCAAGGATCGAGGTGCTGGGATTAAACCCCGGAGAGGAGCACGAGGCCAGAGCGGAATGGCCATGGTCGGGCGAACTAGGAGTGCCTCCGGGAGGGAGGACAGGGGAGAGGGACGCGCAGGTCCTGGGACACAACAAGGGCCAGGGCTGCGGCCCAGGAGGTGGGCCACCGCGTTGGCCCTGTCCTTTCCTGCCTTTCCCTTGGGCCCCCTGATGGGCAGCACAGGGATCAGGTGCCAGGCGCCAGCGGGGACACCTCTGCCTCTGCTTCTACTGCTAGCAAATCTTCTCCTCTCCCCATGGCAAAGCAGGGTCTGGGTGAGAGTTGATTCAGGAGTCAGCCAAAAGCAGGCCTGGCGAGGTGCCAGTGCCCTGCCCAGCTGTGCCCTGTGGCCCTGCCCCAAGAAAAGCAGAGGGTTCTGGAGCAGAAGAGGCTGTGGAACCAACCCTGTGGCACCGGGCAAGGGTCAGAGACACCAGGGTCTCTAAAATAGGGGGATGGGCCAGGTGCAGTGGTACACACCTGTGATCCCAGCTACTCAGGAGGCCGAGGCAGGAAGATTGCAAGTTCAAGGCCAGCCTTGGTAACTTAGCAAGATCCTGTCTCAAAATAAAATATAAAAGGGCTGGGAATGTAGTTCAGTGGTGGAGCAACCCTGAGTTCGATCCCTTGGTACAAATATAAAATAAAATAATGAAGTAGAGGAGGGACACTCCAGACCCCAAGGGTAAATGAGATCCTGCTCAGTGAAGTTCAAGAAAAAATATCTATTAAGACAAGTTTATAGTTATTTTATCTCCTGGTATGTATTTTGCTGCATGTATTTTATAAGTGCGTGATTGTATTCAGTAGGTCTACATGTGGCTGACATGAGAGAATTTACAAAGCAGTGTCTTACACAAAAGTGAAATTTCTCTTATATCCCTGCAGTCGAGGGCTGGCTGCCCAGGCTGAGGGACAGTCCTCTCTGTGGCTCTAATATCCCCAGTCATCCTCCTACGGAGTCCACATCAGAACCAAGGCCAGCGCTCATGGTCCCACCCATATTCCAGGCTGAGAGGGCCAGAAGAGCACACCTTCCTTGGAGGACACTTCCTGAACGGGGTGCCCCACATTTCCAACACCTTGGCCAGTAGGACTGCATCACATGGCCATCTGTCACTGCGGAGACCCTGGGATGTCTGTGCTGGGATGCTATGGTCCCTGCACAGGAAGGGAGGGACCAGGTTTTAACTACAGTAATAGTAGAATAGCACATGTGTGTACCCCAAGGACATAAATATGCTGTTGGTGGCATTGTCCATGTTGGGTTTTAGGGGTGGAGTTTGAAGTTCACTGCTATGGACTATACAAGCTACAAGTGTAAAGAATTGATTTAAGGGAAGAGTAGAACATTTTCTGTGGTTTTAATAAGTTTTCTTCAAGGCCCTTGTACCTTAATGGATCGGTTCCTAGCCCATGGTGCTATCAGGAACAGGAGGAGGAGGAGAAGCCCTTAGGAGGTTGTTATGGTTTATGTCTAGAGGTCCCTCCAAAGTCTCAAGCAGTCGTGAAGGGTGGGCCTTTCCAAGGTGGCTGAATCTAGGGTTTCTGATTGGTTCATAGCCTGGCGCTGGGATTGGCAGTGTGAGTGCTGGGCCTGCCCTAGGGCGGTAGCCTGCATACAATCTGAGGGAGGAAACAAGGCTTGCTCCTCCCGCTTACCTTTTTGCTTTTGTTGTTTTTGGCATGGCTGTTGTTTTTGGCATCTTCCATGGTTGCCCCTCAGCCACACCAACCTGCCTTGGAGATAGCTGAGTATGGACTGTGAGCTAAATAAACCATTCCCTCTTTAACTTTTGGTGTTGGGTGTTTTGTCCCAGCAACAAGAGAAAAGTAAGACAGAGATAGAGTTCATTGGAGGGGAGTTGGGTGGATGGGACCCCAGCACCCCCTAATGGTAACATTGGGACAACAGCACCCAGGTTGCTCCCCACACTGTCCTGCAGCCTTTGGAGAGAGTGTGTCTGAGAACACAGAGCAGAGTGGCGTTCAGACCATGACACTGTGCCCGCTCCCACGTGGCATACATGGCACACACAAGGCACCTGCACAGAGGCACTGTTAAAGGAGCCTTCTTAGACTCTCTGGAAGAGGTCAGCTCCCACAATTGGCAGAGTGAGGATGCCAAGCCTGGGCTTGAGTAGCTTGGGAGCAGGGCACAGTGCCTGGCCACGTGTCTACATGAGGGAGAAGTCCATGCCCATCTTGTCTGTGTGGTCCCTGTCTACATAAGGTTGTTTTTAGCAGCCAGCCTATAGCCCAACAAGTACACATGTTAGTCATTTTAATTGCTCAATGCCACATAGACTGAGAGCAGAGCAGCAAGGATTTGGGTGGGCACAGTGGGCAAGCACTTCCTGCGGCTCCACCCCAGCCCAGGAGCAAGGATTTGAACTCACTCCATCCAACTCAGGAACTGCTGATCACTGCTGGTCAATCTGCTCCTGTGTCCCCAGGCTAAGGCCTTTCCTCTATAAAGAGCAAGTCATACCGTGTCACACTGAGCTGTCATTGCCTCTCTTTGAGCAGTGACAAAAACGTTCCTCATAATAAGTCACCTTCACAAGCGGAGCACTTTGACCTAAAATGAACAATCTCAGAACCAAGTGACAGAAGGGCTTTCTCCCAAGTCCCTCTCACCCTAAAAGCTGGGTCCTCCAAAAGACTCACTCAGAGGAAGAAAGGCTAGAGCCACACCCAGAGCCCAGGTGAACTTTGTCCAGGCTTCTGTGGGCTTTTCAAACCTGTTCATCTGTGGCAAAAATCACTCTTTACCTAAAATTGCCTCCAGCCTCTACTTCTCTCTTCCCCGTGAAGAGGGTCAGCGAGCTTATAAACCTCACTGGGTGGTGGGGCCTTCCCTCTCCTGTGGTGTGCCCACACAAACACTAAGTGTGTGCCCCTCTCTCATTCAGGTCCGCTGCCCACTTCCTTCTTCGGTTCAGACAGCAGTCCTCCGGGAGGAAAGAGAAGGTGTCTTGCCTCGGCCCACACACGCACATGAGGGACAGATGGTGCACTGTCCACCCCTTTGTGCTGTCCAGGTCTGGCCTTGGCTTGGAGCTAAATAAATGTTGATTGAACAAATGAATAATACATGGCCTTTCTGAGCTTCAGAGCATCTAGCAACAATCCCAGAATCAAATGAGATCGTGTTTGAAAAGATGTTTTAGAAACTGCCAGCCAACCATATACTTTGGTTATAATTATCCTTCTTAAGAAATTCCTGATATGAAGGGTAAGAAAATGCCACTATTTGAGAGTGTACATCTCGACTCTGATCTCAAGAACGTGTCCTCTGCCATAGTTCTGTGTTTTGACACCTTTGTTCAGGTGACCATCCATCCAGTCACAGCACCCTTAAGGCTGCAGGACACCTTAGTGACCACTCAGACAACCTGCTGGCCCCAGGCAGAGCAGGTTCCCCAGGCAGAGCTGGCCCCTCTGTGGTGGTTCTGCTTACCAAGAGGTTAGTTGCTCAGTGCTCCAACAACACAGCCCCAGACTGGAATGTGACTCAGCTATGCAGGACCGAGAGGAGTCCACACCATTCCCTGGACCTTGTGTGTGCCCCCTCCTATCTCTGTACACCTGCCTGTTCCCCCACAATTCCTCTTCCAAGGTCAGGTTCAAAGTCAGACCCACAAAAGCAATGTGCAGGGAGTAGGAAAAGAGAATCAAAGCAGCTTCCTAAAATCTTCAGCATCCACAATGCTCTCTTGGTAAATGCAAGCTTCTGCTGCATTAAGAACGCTCTGGGTACCTGCAGAAGTCTCTCTGGGCCGGAAGCTGGGTACTCGCTTCTTTCTACTTACTATGCAGTTATGACACATTGACATTATAGTTTTGTTTGTGCTTTTGCACAAATGCCACCACATCCCCCTTCCAACTCCTGTCTGCTTCCTCTAAGGTGAGGTTTTCAAGGGCAGAGACTGTGTCTTACTCATTCGATCTCCCTGCCTCTATGCCTGGCACTTGTTGGTAATTTAATAAATGCATCGTGAACGAACGAGTGAGTAACCGAGCAGAACAGAGGGCTGCGCACTTGGTCTCCAGCACGAGACACACTCTGTCCACGTCGCCCTGGGAAACCTCGTTCATTCATGCGTGCAGGTCCTGATGCCTTCACCCAAATATTTGGCTGAGTCCCTGTTAGATTCTAGACACCATGCTAGATAATAGCAGAGGATAAACAGGAGGAACAAAGATCTTGGCCCCTACAGAGCTCATATCTGAGCAGGAGAGACTGAACATAAGCAAGGACTGAGTAAGTAAACAAGATAAACCTGAAGATTCTCAGCTGTCCTCAAAGGAAGTGAGCAAGGCATGTTGTAGAGGACCCAGAAGAGGCCACCAATGAAGGATTGGCAGGGAAAGCATGGTGTGAGACACGTCTTAGCTTTCTGGCACCGTAACAAAATAACGGAGCCAACCAAGTTATAAAGAAAATGTCTGTTTTGCCTCATTGTTACAGAGGTTCAGGCCAGTATGAGGCAGTACATCATGGCAGGAACCACTAAACTATGAATTGCAGCCACTGAACTATGGCCAGAGAGCTCCTAAGAGAGGAAGAGGAAGTGTGGGTGTGTCCAAGGGTGTGCCCCGCCCAATGACCTAAAAACCTCCCTTGAGCTCATTCCCTAAAGCCTCACCACCCTCTAAGAGCAGCATGCTGGGACCAAGCCTTTAGCACATGAGCCTTGGGGAACCTTAAGATGGAAGTGACTGCAGGACATTTGAACCAAGTCCTGAAAAATGAGAGTCAGCCCACTTTTCAATGAATAGGCAGAAAGATGAGGACAAGTGTGAAGGAGGCAGGGGGAATCGTTCTCTTCCTGAGGGTTCCTTTCTTCATCTCCAAATGGAAGCCATAAGGAAAGCAGTGGGCTCACAGTCCACCATGGGGCCTGAGTGCACCGAAGCGCTCAGCAGAGAGCCGGGCGCACAGAAAGCCCCCAAGGCACACACGCTGTCATGATCTAGGATGGGAAGGAAGTGAGGCTGGCGCTGCGCTGGCCCTCTGTCATTACCACTTCCTTCTCCGAGTCCTCCCAAGCCATCTGTTAAATGATCCATGGAAGAAAGTTCCTGAGCACCGCCTCCACCTCTCTTATGGCCTGTAGAATCAGTGCAGCGAGCAGTGGCCGAGCTGGGC